CTGATTGCCTTTTTGACTCCAACCGTATATTCTGATTTTTCCTCAAATTTATCTAAAACAAATTCTTGCATCGCTGGTTTTCCCCCCGTTTCAATCACATCTTTAGGAGTTCCACGATTAATATGTTGTGTTTCAGCAACACCATGTGGGAATCCAGGAAAATCGGGACCTGCTAATCCTTTCAAGAATGCTTCTCTCTGTAAAAATGCATATTCTACATTAATCCCACATAATGGAACTGAAGGAATGTAGAATACAGAAGAATCATGTTTTCCTATATGCACGGGATCAACGGCATGAACTAAATCACAATGCCAGAATACCATATCACCTGGTTCCACTCTAGGAACCAGAACCATTAAATTATCAAGATCCATTTCAGGGTGAGTTTTATTATTAAATTCCAAGCCCTTACCAGGAGATGCTCCTGGAATATCTGAATCAAGTTTTAGTTCATCATTTTCATCAAAAAATGGCTTTAACATATAATACGCTGTAACTTCTTTCACAAGAGGTGCAAAGAGGATAGTACCCTCCTTTGGAGCAATGTCAGAAACTGCTAACCATCCTTGGAATGTTCTAAACATACTGCATGTTCCTCTTGATTCATGTAAATCCATGTTAGCCTCAATTCTGTGGGTTGCATCGTATGGATCAAAGTTTTCCCAATTTCCTTCAAATATTGGGGTATAGCAATTACTGTATTCTTCGTCTTCCCATCTTTCTAACGAGCCGCCATCTGCATGAGGTCCAAGCGAGAAGAGACCATCGCCTGCATTCCTGATACGTAAACGATCAGCATACGATATATTCTGATCAAAGCATATCTCACTATCAGGTGAAGCATGCCACAAATTATTCATATATGACATAACAGTATTTACATGAGGGTGTGATCTTGCTCTGACTTGTGATTTAGACCAATATAGTTCATAAACAACTTTTTTATCTTTGGGAAAACCTGTTGTGTTTGGATTAGCATCAATATAATCGATCACGTCCTTTTTTAATTGAATGGCTTCTTCCTTTGGAATGACATTTTTGATAATCAACGAGCCACGTCTTCTAATCTCTTGTGTTTGTTCTTCAGTTAAATTCCCTAATTCGTTGTACAGGACTTGTGGTATGATTTCAGGACCAGCTTCTTTTATTTCTTTGATTCCATCAGCTAAAGCCGTCTTCAATCTATACCAGCTTGCAGTTAATGCTTCTTTATTTTTAATTAGGTTTTTCTTGACTTCGGCATACTCTTGTGGAAGTCCTACTTTACCAGAATTTTCAAAAGAAGTGAATACTGACGATATATCACCAGTACCTCTGACTTTTGCTTTTGAAATATCATATACACGATATTTAGGACAATTGTATTTTGTTTCTGATTGCAAACTTGGCATTTTCACTTTTTATTTCCTCGCTAACTGAAACTTGCTCTTTCGAAGACTTTAAGCAGTATATATACCATCTTGGAAATCCTGTCATACGGTATCAGAGCTAATACATGTCCAGTTACGTTTAAGAAATTGACAAGACAGGGAGGGAGGATTACCCAATAGAGTAATCCTCCCCGGTAAATCCCCTCACCTTTATTGGGTATGCCGTCCGCCAATGATTTTGATCTCTTATATCGGAGAACATACACATTAAAATCGAAATCATTAGATTTGACGCTATTATATATGGCGTTATAAATGAGTATGCTGTCTAACTTCACAATATCTACATTTTCTGTATCCAAGAGACCGGTAAGTAGCCATACATCTTCCTTTTAAGGACTATTTATTAACATATTATGAAAGCGTTCTATCCAAGCCTGCGAGCGTTGCAAGAAACTTCATAAGAAATGCATCACCGATTTTGACGCATCTAGTTGTAACCTGTGCCAGAATAAATCATTAAATTGTATTTGGAAGTCCGGTACCGATGATTCAAAATCTAGTAAACCATCTAAAAAGAGAAAAGCAGAGACCAAGAAAGAACACATATACGAAAAAATATTTCAAAGTAATGATCAACTGAAACCTCAGTTTGTTTGTGCTACTCAGCCATTGGCTCTGTTATTAAGTAGGGATTCTTTTTTATGTTTCGATGGAGATGATTTTGGCCTCTATTACCCCTGGAGAGGAATAGACAATGACCATATTGATGAAAAGATTATAGATGAAGATTTCAAGAACTATCTAAGCAGCAAGGGTGCTTTTGTTGTTCCTCCTATACAAGAGCAACGCCGCTTGCTTAAAATATTTCTTGAAAATGTTTATCCGTTGTATCCTGTCGCGGAGAGAGATATGTTGAATGATATAAAGACGATCCCAATCATGTTATTAAATGCTATGTTTTCAAGTGCCATTAGATTTGATACTGCTGAGGACAAAAGCAATATAAGAAACAGATCAAATGAGTTTTATGACAGATGTAAGCTTTTAGAATTAGTGGAAACAAACAAGATCACTTTGATACAATCATATTTATTATTATCTATACACGAGGAAGGCATTGAAGGAGCAACTTCTTCTAAAGAATATATAACGAAAGCATGCAATTTATGTGGGGAGCTTGCAATCACAAATATGGGTGGTTCTAATGGAATATCTAAAAACCAAGAAAACAAAGACAATGAGTTATCGAGCTTTAAAAAAGTTCATTATAGAAAACGAATATTAACCCGTTTATTCTGGGTATCATTTTGCTGCGACCGTCTTGTTTCGGCTACTTGTGGAAGAGAGATGTATTATAATCCTGCAGACTTAATGGTTGATAGTGTTGAATTGGACGATTTTGACGCAGGAGAAGACCAAGAATCTGATTTTGCGATTTTTAGTTCTTGGTGTAGTATTTGCAAATTAATTGATCGTATTCAATGTTCTTTGTATAGACCTCCCCATAACCGAACGTTGCTGGATCATAATTTAGAGGCTGACTTATTGAATTGGTATATTGAAAATGAATCTCAAATGAAAGAAAGTTTCAAGCATTCTTTGAAAATCTATCACTCATATGCATTTATCTTATATCTCCGCTGTAAGGTAGATTCAATTTCTCTTATTGTCGGAGGTTCTGAGCTCAACAATATTGAAGGTGGGGCTACAAGTAGGCATATGTCACTTATACATCATTATTCCTCGTTAATTGTCGATCTAATTGAATCAAACAAATTTATTCATCATGTTTTAATAGTACATGCAATCTTACATGTCATTGCTTTAATACAGCTTGAATCTAAAATGCAATTTGAAGATAATGGAGAATTGTATTACAAGAGTATGATGGGCAGATCCATTAAGATACTTGAAAACTTTAAGGATTATTGGTGGTTTGCGGGTGCTGCTTTAAGACTATGCAAGGTTGTTATATCCCCCGAATATTTTAAATCAGACAATATTTCTTGATATATAGGAGATAACGTTTGAAATAAGATGCGGGAATGAAACTGTTACACACATTCGTACACTCGAGGTTTTTATATGAAAGCAGCGACTTATATAGTCTTCTGATGACATAAAGCATTCTAGTATGGATCTTAGAATAATAAGGTTGTAAACTTTTGACTTAAATTTCAAATTGTAATATCTCAATATACTCAAAAAAATCCATTCTAACTCCTATTACTATGATATATATTAAACATATGTAAGGCTCCCTTTTTCATATATCAATGATCACTCGGTTTGTTTCTCGTAGCCTAAATGTTATTTAAAATCTAATATTTTAGATTTATTTTGATATTTAGAGAAAAAGATTGCTTTTCACAATATTGCAATAATTTACTTAATTTTCAAAAGCATATAAAATTATTGCTCCCAATCTTTCAAAAATTATTAATCTTTATATTGGATATATATTAAAGCAAGAGAGGATCGATTCAGCTATATAATTCTCTATGTCAAATAGTTGACTCTAAGTTCATTTATTCATACAAAATATAATATATATACAGTAATCATAGAGGGCCTAAATTAGAAGAAACTGATCGCCCTAATAGTCGTCGACTCAATTGGAAATTAACTCCTCCATAGAGTCTTTAATTATTGCAGCGACCACTAAGATAAGCATTAGAAGCCACTAAATACATGTAAGATTATATAATCCAGCGCAGCGAAATTTTTGTATGAGCTATTAAAAATTCCCAGTACAGAAACCTCTTCGTCCAAAAGTCTTAGCAAAATGATTTATTCAAGACTGGTAAGTAGCTCTTTTATCTAGTAGTCTTTAATTGCTCATACACCACTCATGAAATAGTTTGTCAAAGGCTGAATATCCAATTTTTAAGAGTTTTTTGTATTCCATGAATGAAATCTCTGGTAAAAGTATAGACTGATACGAAATGAAAATAAACATAGTTGCATTATCCTTCATCATTTTATCATACATTCCGATAACTTTTTCCCTAGTTATAGTAGATAGTGTAATTGCTTCGTCATGTGTATATTATATGAAGCAATTTGATTGGGGATGTAATTCTACTGGGAACGGAGCTACGCAGTATACTTGTCGTTGTGGGAATGTTGATTGGCTCGGCTCAATTGCAAATTGTATATATTCAGAGTCTGCAGATGTTGAAGAAAGAAACCATGCATTGAAGCATGTTGGCACTAGATGCTATACTAAATCTAAGAAGGTTTACGACTATTCGGTATTGGACTTTGTTCAATTCTACGAGAATGCCACAGATTTTTTACAGTATCCTAATAGTACGAGGGATATAGAGGAACAAGTAATGCATCCCCTAGATGTCAACCAAACTGATTTCAAATTTTATTCAGATTCATTCCAAAATGTAATGGATCATGTAAATAAAACCCAATGGTTTGGATGGGGATTGAATTTCTATTGGGTTTTGGTCATAGTTATTTCATTCGTCTATAACTATCATAAAGTATTATTGAGATTTATACCAAGCAAGCAATGGAACAGAATTAAAGGCAGTGTCGTACAATCGACTTTATTCAAAAATCACGATTATAACACTATCTATTATTTGGCTGATTTAATCCCTATTATGCTTCCATCTACAATTGAGTTTGCAGCAATAAGCGTATTTTGGATACTTGTTATCATATTCAGCATTGTTGGTTACAATATGATGCTACCAAATGCCTACTTAGGAAGCTCAAAGTTTTTCTATCTATTGGATTTCATATCATATCGTACCTGCATCATGTCTTTTTCTCTTTTGCCATCCATGTACTTGATGGGTATCAGAAATACTCCATTAAGTTATGTCGTAAGTTGGTCAAGAAGAACATTCATTAGCTTTCATAAGACTATTGCAATGGCTATGTCACTCCTAGCATTTATCCACTCGTGCGTGTGGACAGCGTATACGGTCAAGGAAGGAGATTATGACATGTGGGCAGTGGATGCTTATTGGAAATGGGGTATAGTATCTATGGTATTGTTAGGTTTAATCTTGCTAACAAGTTTGAAGTGGTTCAGAAGGGTAATGTATGATTTTTTTTTAATTCTTCACCATGTTTTCTCAATTGTGTTTATTGTCGCTATTTACTACCACGTCAATACTTTAGGTTGGTTGGGTTGGTGTTACTCAATTATAGCGATTTATAGCTGGGACAAGCTCCTAAGGATATTCAAAATTTCAATATCAGGAAAACTAATTAAGAAATCAAAAATTGAATATTTTGATGAATCCATTATAAAGCTTTCGATTCCAAAGGAAGGAATGAAGTTCAATTTCATGCCTGGTCAGTATACTTTCTTGTATTTTTTAAAGCCATATCCTTTACTCAACGGTTGGCAATCACACCCTTTTTCACTTTACATGGATCCACTCAAACCTAATTGCATGACAGCAATTATCAAAGTAAAAAAAGGAATAACCAAAAAAATATATGAGCACGTTTTGAGGCAATCAATGAAGGTATCAAATGATCAGTTAGAAATCCCTTTAGTTATGGAAGGCGTTTATGGAAATTCAATTTCCTTATCAGCTAGATTAAATCCTATTCATGATTATGTTTTAGTTGCGTCTGGTATTGGTATTACAAGTATTTATCCCTATGTTTTGGAACTATTAAATCAAAAGCGTTCTAGCCAAACTAGAATTCGGTTGTTCTGGGTAGTACGTGATCTGAACGAATTGTTATGGTTTCAGAATGAATTAAAATTTCTATATGAAAATTATTGTGATACAAACCAGCCTGATCCAATTTTCAGAATAGAATTAATTGTAACACGGAATTTGAATTTAGAGAATCTCGGACTCTCGGGTAAAGAAAAGAATACCCCTACCCCAAATTCGTCATCATTGACAAGTGTTAGAGATTGCGTTCACGAAACAGATCAAGAAGAAAGAAAAATGTTGGATGACCAAGAATTACCGTTAGAAGAGAAGGTTTTAGACAACCACTCATCAAAATTCACTTCGTTTAAGAATAATTCGTGCTTCAAAATATCAATGTTACCCATTGGAAGCAGGCCATGTTTGAATAAGTTAATTCGAATAAATAAAATAAAAAATACTACACATTTTATAGTTTGTGGACCATGCAAATTTAGTGATAGTATTAGGAGTATGGTTAATTTATATAGATTAGAATTAGATTGCAACTATGATATTGAATACCACGAAGAAAGCTTCGAGTGGTAAGCATATAATATAGAAATATTTTAGTAGACTTTTAAGAGAGATGAGGTAATCATCTTTGCTCTGAATGGATTTATGGTAATGATTCATCATACTAAGAATTTTGTGTTTAGCGTGAACCCCGATTTGGATGATGTGAGCAAATTTATTCTATATATAATTACGCGAAAAATCTTACCTAACAACTATATATATAGGAACGAATATCAACATTAATAACTTTAACAATTCAAGATTTACCACTGACTCAAAATGATGGGAGAGATACCTGGCTCTATGTCTTCGATGTCCAATACATCCAGTGGAATGGTGATGCAAATGACTTTCACTAACAATTTTCGCGATACATCGGTTTTATTTGAAGGATTGAAAGCATCAACCAAGCCACAAGCTTTCGGTATATTTTGTCTCTTCTTTTTTGTCGCTTTCATATTAAGAGGATTAATATTTGTGTATGTTTACATTGAACAGGTAGTGTGGCGCAGAGGGCAGGAATCTTTATCATTATCATATAAAAGAACTGTTGATTTTGGATTCGACGATGAAATACAAGAACCATTTGAAAAGCAAGGATCGGAATCAAATACGTATAGCACTAATAGCGAAGAACTGAATTTAACACCAGCGCTTTTGTCCCAAAAAAAGAGGCGTTCTTTTTTATTGCAAATGTTTTACACTAATTGGAAAGATTTTGAAAAGGACATAGTGAGGTTGATTTTATCATTTCTAATAGCTATTTTGTCGTATTCACTAATGCTTGTTATTATGTCATATATTACTTGCTACTTCTTTGCCGTAGTATTGGGTATCGCAGTTGGCGAAGTCTGGTTTAAGAGATTAGAAAGAATTTCGATATGCAACGAACAAATAGTTAATAATTCAGAAGAAATACTTATTCCTACCCCTCAAGCATTGTCATGCTCTAGAACAAGATGTTAGATAATCCACCACTTATCATCATTTCGATATCTGAATCTTGGATTTCATGAGAAGTAACTATATCCACAAACCTAGAAATGTTATGCATCTCATAACTTCTTATGATTTATGGATATTGCTTTTCCAAATTGGGCTGACAAAATATAAACATTTTAATAAATAATGCATGGATTTTCAAGGGATTCGGTTATTAGCAAGTCTTTTTTCATCATATCTGATTAAGAAATCAATTATTAGGCCTGTGTTTGAATCAATTTATTATTAATCAGGAGGACCTAATTTCTATTCCTACATTTTAAAACTAGGTAATTCATATATTTCTGAAAACAACTAAAAGTATACATTACAGATATATAATTTAACCAAGCAAACTGGTAAGTAAGCCGTCAATACCAGATCCAAGATTATTAATCAAAGGATCACTTAAGTTGTTAATGTCAGCAAGAGTTGAGTTGACCAAAGACAGATCCACGGTACCTTGAACCGTTTCTTCAATATGGTTGAGAAGAGCCTCGACCTTAGCAAGCGTATCAGATAAAATAGAAACACCAAATACTGGCAAGGCCATTAAAAAGAATGCCATAAGGATGTTGAGTGCGTTGAACAGGAATTTCATATTTGCTTTGTTATTTATTGAAGTTGTTTGAATTATAAATTCTAATGAACATAAAAATTTATTTGAAAACCCATGAGCTAAGCTCTATTTATATTTTTTGGCGACTTTATTCTAATCTAAAGCGGTTTCATTATCTTATTGTTCTTATCACTCCAGAGACTTTATCTTCTCCGTCTATCAAAATGATTGCATGGAACTGTGTTTGTAATTAGTATATACCTATTAGCAAATTAAAACACGAAATAGTTTTGGAAATCGTGTTAAAAGACAATAAGCGTAAACATTTAATGTATTTGACGATACATTTTAGTCCAAATATTAATTTGCAACTAAGCCATATAGATAATAACACAATAAGAACAATGCTTATCAAATGCTCACGAAGTTCTATTATTCTCTTATCTATGCAAGTTGAATTAACAATTAACAAATATCACATGTGATGGCAAGCTACTGTGACGATTGATGGCATCATTTTAGCCGACTGCTAATTGTTACTGGCTCCCCGGATAAATACAATCAATTGTTCTTTTGCCTGAGGCTCGGAATTATGAACGTTAATTTCTCTTATCTGAAATGCTTCGATAAGCATAATAGATAAACCTCACGCTTTAAATGGTCTCTTCAGCCAATGAAATATATAAAATAGCTATTTGTTTACTATCTTAATCTCTCATACGTGGCGAATCGATAGAGCTTTTCATTCATTGCATATTTCAGATAAATTGAGAACGATAAGCACAATAGAATTTGAATTTCAAGATTAAATAAACAATAAATGGCAATCTTTTAAGATAGTGTAGGAGGAAAAAAACATTATATCTCAATTGGTGTGGTTAATCCTTGTAATTCAAATATTACAAGTGATTATTAAAATATCAAGTATATTAGAAATTCAGCATATACACATGACCTAAGAGAAGATAAAATGGTTAAAATCATTAAATTTAGTTTTTTGATACCCACCCATATCTTAAAATAAGAGAATAAGAAAAGATATTTATTGATAGCGAACTTAAGTTTGTTTTATTAAGAGAGGAAGGTGATCGTCACATTAAGATTTTGGATATATATAAAGTCAATTTCGATCAATATGAAAAAGATAATAATGACAAGTTGATTCCGTTTAAATGTTAGATTTATGGTAAAAGGACTTTAAGACTATAACTCGTTAATTCGATTGCATTGCTAAAGTTTAAAAAGGGTCCAAAAATAGAAAATAATATTTTCTGCACCACATTCTATCCAAATCGAAAATAGACTTTTACGCCCCTAATTTATTTCTATAATTAAATTTGTATTTTTCAATGCATTCACTGTGAACATCATGCACCTATGAAAGCAAAGTTGGAAGATTTGTTATATATGGCCGTTGATGACCATGAAAATCAAGGGTTTTCAGTATTTGCTGATGTCGTAATAGGTGTTTATGATTCATGTAAGGTTACATTTGAGGACAATTATTTGAAAATCAATCATAATACTGTGGGGTATATCGCATGTAAGAACATTCCATACGATCCAAATTATATTTGGAAATATTACTTTGTATTGATGCGAAAATTCTTCACCTAAAGATTGTATTTTGTAAAATTTAGAAGAAATATAGTTTAGTTATCAATATTTCTTACTGGTATTGAGTTGATAAATCATTACACGCAGCCACAATCTTATCATCAATATAACAATATTACAGGTCTCTATAAAGGATAATCTCACTACAGCATATCATATTAGATATAATTTTATTATGTAATTATACTACTTCTTAAGAAAAGGCAAAGAAATTTAGATATTGAATAACGATGCATCGAAAGAGTATACTAAGACCTTTCATTGTAGTATTGTACAATATCAAAGAAGCTCTTCTTATAGTATCTTTCTTGCGTTGTTCTATTCACTACTTGAAGTCCAAATTGCTGCTCATAATCGCCGAATTCCCAATTATCTGCAAATGACCAAGCTAATGCTCCAATGACATGAACTTTGTCATCATGAATGGCATTTAAAACTGACTCCATAAAAGATCTGTAATATATCGACCTGTTTATATCGTATAATTGATCACCAAGCTCCTTTTCCCTTTCTCTCCATTCAGGGAATCCAAATTCACCTATTAAAATAGGTGAGTGGAATGTATTCCAAATATATTTGAGGAATTCGCGTAATTGAATTGGAGTGATGTAGACATAGGACTGCGACCTATATCCTATTTTCCAGCCATCTTCACGCATTTGGGATTCCTTCACACATAAAGGCCACAACTCATGCGATGTATTTCTCTGGCAAGCATCAACACCTCCTTCTGGTGAAGTAACGACTGTATATGTGTAAGGATCAATACCAAAAAAATCGGTGCCAAAGGCTACTTCCTTTAATTCTTCAGCAGTTAATAAGTATTCTGTGTCATTAGTGAAGGTATTTTTCCATGAATCAGGATAATCTTTACCTAAAAATAATGGATTAGCAAATGAAGACAATTGAAATTCTTGAAATCGTTCTGCAGCAGCCACATCTTCTTCATT